AAGTTTACTTTCCTTTATTTCTTGTAGACGTAAATATTAGTCTAGTGTTGTGTGTGTGTGTGTGTGTGTGTGTGTGTGTGTGTGTGTGTGTGTGTGTGTATGAGAGAGAGAGAGATTTTCTTTATTCATTCATCCATTTGATGAACACTTAGGTTGTTTCCATATCTTGACTATTGTAAATAATGCTGCAATGAACATGGGGATGCGTATATCTTTCTGAATTCGTGTTTTCATTTTCTTTGGATAAACACCATTTATTGCTAGATCATATGGTGATTCTATTTTTAATTTTTTTGAGGACCCTGCCTACTGTTTTACATGGTGGCTGCACCGGTTTACATTCCCACCAACCCTGCACACACCAGGGTTCCCTTTCCTTCACATCCTCTCTGACACTTGTTCTCTCTTGTCTTTTTAATAATAGCCATTCTGACAGGTGTGTGGAGATATCTCATCATGGTTTTGATTTGCGTTTGCCTGGTGATTAAGTGATGTTGAGCATCTTTTCACGTGCCTGTTGGCCATCCGTATATCTTTGGAAGAATGCCTATTCAGATTCTCTGCCCATTTTTTTTTATTAGATTGTGTCTTTTTGTTATTGAATTATGAGCTCTTTATATATTTTGGATAGTAACCTCTTATCAGATACATGATTTAGAAATAGTTTTTATTTTTTGGTAGGTTGCCTTTTCATTTTATTAATGGTTTCTTTTGCTATTCAGAAGCCTTTTAGTTTGATGTAATTCTACTATTTGTTTTGACTTTTGCTGCCTTTGATTTTGGTGTCAAACCCAAAAAATCATCTCCAAGACAGATGTCAAGGAGCTTACCACCTATGTTTTCTTTTAAGGGTTTTATGGTTTCAGGTCTTACATTCAACTCTAATCATATTGAGTTGACTTTTGTTTATTACGTAAGATAATGTTCTAGTTTCATTGTTATACTTGTGGCTATCCAGTTTTTTCAGCATCATCTTTTGAAGAGACTGTTCTTTTCCCATTGTATATTCTTGGCACCTTTGTCATAAAATATTTTTTGGGCTCTGTATTCTGTTTACTTATCTATGTGTCTGTTTTTATGCTAGTAAATACTTTTTTGATGACTATAGTTTTGTAATATGGTTTGAAATTAGGGAGCATGATACTTCCAGTTTTGTTTTCCTTTGTCAAGATTGCTTTGACTTTTCAGAGTGTTTTGTGTTCCATAGGAATCTTAGGATTGTTTCTTTTTTATGTGTGAAAATGCCATTGGAATTTTGATAGGGATTGCATTGAATTTGTAGGTTGCTTTGGTTAGTTTGGACATTTTAACAGTATTCTTCCAAACCATGAGTGTGGAATATTATTTCATTTATTTGTGTCTTCTTCAGTTTCCTTCATTAGTGTCTTATGAATTTCTGTCTGCAAATCTTTCATTTCTAGGTATTTTTTTTGATGCAACTGTAAATGGGATTCTTTTCTTAATTTCTCTTTCTGATAGTTCATTATTAGTGTATAGAAACCAACAGACTTTTTTGTATATTGATTTTATATCCTGAAACTTTGCTGAATTTATTAGTTTTAACAGGTGTGTGTGTGTGTGTGTGTGTGTGTGTGTGTGTGTGTGTGGCATCTTTAGGGTTTTCTATGTATAATATCATGTCAACTGCAAATCGTAACAGTTTTACTTCTTTCTTTCTGATTTGGATGCCTGTTCTTTCTTTTTCTTGCCTAATGGCTCTGGCTAGGAGTTCTCATACTATTTTGACTGAAAGTGGCAAGAGTGGGCATCCTTGCCTTGTTCCTGATCTTTGGGGAAAAGCTTTCAGTATTTCACCCTTGAGTGTAATATTAGCTGTGGGTTTTTCATATATAGCTTTTATTATATTGCGGTACATTCCTTCCTATACCCACTTTATTGAGAGTTTTTTTTTTTAAATCATAAATGGATGTGGAATTTTGTCAAATGCTTTTTGTACATCTATTGATATGATCATTAGATTTTTATCTTTCATGTTGTTACTGTGGTGTATCACATTGATTGATTTGAAGATACTGAAGCATACTTGCATCCCTGGAATAACTCCCACTTGATCACGGTGTATGATCCTTTTAATGGATTGTTGAATTTGTTTGCAAATATTTTGTTGATTTTTGCATCTGTATTCATCAGGAATTTTCTCCGGTAATTTTCTTTTCTTGTCCTTGTCTGGTTTTGATATCAAGGTAATGATGGCCTCATACAATCGGTTTGGAAGTTTGCTCTCTTTTGTTTTTTGAGAGTAATTTGAGAAGGATTGATATTAATTGTTTAAATGTTTTGTTAAATTCACCAGTGAAGCTATCTGGTCCTGAACTTTTTTTGGGGGGGGAGGTTTTTGATTATTGATTATTGATTGATTATTGATTCAGTCTCCTAACTGGTAATCAGTCTGTTCAGTTTGCTATTTCCTCATGATTCAGTCTTGGTAGGTTGTATGTTTCTTGGAATTTGTCCATTGCTTCTAGGTTGTTCAATTTGTTGGTATATACTTGTTCATAGTAGTCTTTTATGATCCTTTGTATTCCTGTGGTATCAGTTGTAGTATCTCTTCTTTCATTTCTGATTGTATTTATATGAGTCCTCTCTTTTTTTCTTGGTGAGTCTAGCTAAGATTTGTCAGTTTTGCTTATGTTTTAACAAAACCAGCCGTTGGGTTCATTGATCTTTTTTGTTTTCTTTTTAGTCTCTATTTATTTCCACCCGGATCCTTGTTATTTCCTTCCTTCTACTAACTTTGTGCTTCATTTGTTTTTCTTTTTCTAGTTCCTTGAGGTGTATCATTAGATTGAGATTTTTCTTGTTTTTTGATGAAGACATTTATTGCTATAAACTTCTCTCTTAGAACTACTTTTGCTGCATCCTGTAAGTTTTGGTAAGCTGTATTTCCATTTTCATTTGTCTCAAAATATTTTTAATTCTCTTTTGATTTCTTCTTTGATCATTGGTTGTTCAGTAGCATGTTGTTTAATCTCCATATACATGTGACTTTTCCAGTTTTCTTCTTGTAATTGATTTGTAGTTTCATAGCTCTGTGGTCAGAAAAGGTGCTTGATGTGATTTCAGTCTTAAAAATTTTTAAGGACTTGGTTGTAGCCTAACATTTTCTATCCTGGAGAATGTTCCATGTCCACTTGAGAAGAGTGTATATTCTGTTGCTTTTGGATAGATATTCTGTATGTGTTTGTAAGTCCATCTGGTCAGTGTCTCATTTAAGGCCAATGTTTCCTTCTGATTATGTGTTTAAATGATGTATTTGTTGGTAAAAGTGTGGTATTAATATCCCCTACTATTACTATATTGCTATCTATATTTCTCCCTCAGATCTGTTAGTATTTGGTTTATATATTATGTGCTTCTACATTGGGAGCTCATAAATATTTACAAATGTTATATCTTCTTGGTATATTGACTCCTTTATCATTATGTAATGACCTTTTTGTCTCTTATTACTGTCTTTGTCTTAATGCCTATTTTGTCTGATAGCAGTATGGCTACCCTAGAATTCTTCTGGTTTCTATTTGCATGGAATATCTGTTTTTCATCCCTTAACTTTTAGCCTGTCCTTATATCTGAGGTGAGTCTGCAGTAGGCAGCATATAGATAGGTCTTTTTTTTTTTTTAAGTCAATTCAGCTACTCTTTGTCTTTTGATTGGAGAATTTAGCCCATTTACACTTAAAGTAATTACTGATAGGTATGTAAATAGGTATGTGCTTATTGCCATTTTGTTAATTGTTTTCTGGCTGTTTTGCAGAAAATTTTTAGAAATCAAGATTTATAGGCCCCACCTTCAGACCCAATGCAATGGAAACTTTATAAATAATTTCTAGGAATCTACATTATAAATCTTAACTCTTAGGTAATAATTGTTACTCTAATCGATCTGTTGTATTAAGTGTATTGCCCAGTATTACAGATGTGGTCTGAAGAGTACAGAATGAAGTGGGTCCATTTCTTCCCTACGTGTAGTTCCCTTGCTCTTGTGCATATGAGGAAATGATTTTCTTCTGCCCAGTTACACCAAGGTGTATCATATGATCCCTTAACTTTTCATGAGCCTATACGACCTAGATTTAATTTATGTCAGAATATGTTAAAAAGCAAATCCTAAGATTTCTGCTGTCACTGCAGTGGGTTTTGTAAAAAGTGTGGGGTGGGCTATTACATGGTATCTAAGATGTATTACAGATGTAAAGCTGTTGTTGTTGTTTTTAAGCTTACAGTGCCAAAACTTAAGGGGGAAGAAGGTCAGAAAAACCCAAGCAAACAAATGTAGCATTGTTTTCAAAGGTGACTTTGCTTGGGGCATTCATGTCAAAAGGCTCCCATGTGACTTCCTACATTTAGTTACAGTGAAACCTGACAGCTGCCTGGCTGTTGTTTTAGTGTCACTTGCATATTCCCCAGTGGAAAATCTAGTCTTTCAGCTTCGTTGTGAAACAAATATCACATGGATATTAGCAGTTTGCTATGGTGGGAAGGACTTAGCAACTGAAGATTTCAGTTAAGATCTGATATTCAATACTTTCATTCCCGTTCCTTTTTTTTTTTCGTGTGTAATTTGGGGCAGTAATAAATACCTGCCAAACTGCTGGAGTTGGGAGGATGAGATGCAATAATTTATGTCAAGCTCTTACTACACTGCCTAGTTGCTAAAGAAATATTTGCTCATAGAGTATTAGTTTTATGAATACCCTTTGCTCTAGCCAGACATTTGGGAATCATCCATGAATTTTTTTTCTTTCCTTTACCTAGCAAAGATCTTTCCATCTCACCTCCTTTAACAGCCCTAGAATGGGAGTGAGGCATGACCCACATTTTATAACAATTGGGCTTTAAGCAGGCAGTAACTGAATCAATCCTTCAGGACACCTGGTTCTCTTCTGCCTTTATTAGTAGTAATCAATGTTAGTTTCCTAGAACTCTAAAAGGATTGTAGTAACTTCCACTTCCATTGGGAAAATCGGCACTGGTAGTACCAATTTCATAATAAGTTTGCCAGCATTGCCAGAATTAGTCATTTTAACATTACTTATAAGTTGAATAGGTATTAAAATAATACTTTATTATAATTCTTTCTTGGGTGTGTTTTTAGGCTTAACAGTTTCACATGTGCAAACACTGTAGGCATGCAGGATATTGTAAAATGTGCAGTTTGCACAAACACACTCCTGGATTCAGATCTAGGCTCTACAATTTTGTGGTCTCTGTCAAGTTATATACGTTCTCTAGGATGCTTTGCCACATTTTAAAAATGGATTGATAAGATTTAGTTACATACAGGGTGCGACAACTATTAAAAGATAAATTTATATGAAAATGCATAAGACTGAGAAAAGCCAAGACACCCTTCAAGAACAAAGTGGAACAGCTTGTTTGATTAGATCTCAAGATTTCTGATGAAAATTAAGCTAAGATTAATAAAGACAGTGTTCTTTTGGTGCAAGGATACACGATACTCTTGGTTCAGTAGCTCAGTAGAACAGAATAAGGAATACAGAAACAAGCATATGTGTATTATAGACACTTGATTTATGAAAAAGGTGGCACACAGAACAGTCAAAATAAGATATTTCAGTAAATGCTGCTAGAGCATCATATGGAGCAAAGTGAACCAAGACCCCTATTTCATACACCCAAAATAAAGTCCCAGTGGATTGTAGATCTGTTATGAAAGCCAAAATAATAAATATTTTTAGGAGGCAATATAGGAGAATATCTGTGTGACCTTGGAGTAGGAGAAATTTTCTTAAATAGGACCCAAAAAGCATTAACTATAAAAGAAAAATGATAAATTAGATTTTATAAAAATCAAGAACTTCTGTTCATCAAAAGTCACCTTTAAGAGAGTGAAAGGCAAGCCACAGAATGGGAGAAGATGTTTGCAGCACTCTGACAAAGAGCTCTTCCATCTGGGTTGACACGTGTGTGTGTCTCACTTCCTCAGTGGCCTCTTGGCTCCATCTTAGCGAGGTTTCCAAGCAATACTCAATTCACTTTGATTTTCCTTTCACAGCGTTTATGGAATGAATAAAGACTTGGTAGGAATTAGAATGCTGGGGGACAGGCCTGGGGGTGTGCTCTGCAGCCGGGAGGCTTCCTGGGTGAGCCAGTGAGACTATGTGGGCACACGGCAGGATGGCAGGAGAGCAGTGAGGAGAGGCCTGGTTTGGGATCCCCAGAGCAGACTTGGACTTGAACCCTGGGTCTCTCATTTTTTGGTTGTGTGTATTTGGGAAGGCTACGTATTCTCTCTCACAATGGCCCGTTCTTAAAAATAAGGCTAAGTTTAGAATCCACCATACACGGTTAGAATTAATCAGATGATGTAGGCTAGTGTTTACCCACAGGAGGTCTCCAGTCCTGTTATATCATCTCTGTTGGAGTTATTGTTCCTTGGAGGTGAGAGGTGGCTCTGCCAGCGGTGGGTGGATGGGGTCACTACAGATCAGTGAGAAAAAGACAGATCAATAGAAAAAGGAGTGAGAGACTTGAACAGGCACTTCACCAAAAGGATGTCCAAATGTCCAGTAAAAAGAAAAGGTGCTCGAGACCACAAGTCATTGGATAAATGCAAATTCAAACCAGAGGGGCATATAACCTCTACGCATCTACCAGAACACTAAATTAAAAGGACCAACAGTAGAGAATTTGTGGGAACATGAGCAAAGAAACTCTCATACACTGTTGGTGGAATACAGATTGGTACAACCGCTTCGGCAGTTGGCAGTGCAGAAGCTGAGTGTATGCATACTTTACGATCCTCCTGTTCCACATCCCACAGAAATGGTGTGTATTAGTTAATGATTAATTGAGGGCTCTAATTTTCATTGTAGAAAAGCATTAATTGGAAATAGTTGAAAATGGAAGAAGCAACAAATGAGTCGTAAGAGAGTTTCACTACACTTCTGTCATCTTTAAAAAATATTACACTGCTCGTGGGTCACACAAAAACTTGGAGCATCTGAATTTCCAAGGGCAAAGTCACTTTCTGTATGTGTGCTGGCTAGAACTGCCCCTATCTAATCTTTACAGTTCAAATTTATAAGTATAACATCAAGCTCTCAATTAATCATTAATCAGAGGACTTGGGCAAATGCTCACAAATAAGCCTGTTAAATTTAAAAAGTTTTAATGTAATTTTTCTCATTGCAAACAGAATATTATTTTGAAGTTTTTTCCTATCTAATTGTTGAGTACTTATAAGAATGTTGAGTTTTATAGTTATCACTTACATCACACTTGATTAAGCTCATTGATTCTATAGTAATGGTTTTGAGTGATTTCTTTGTGTTAATCTTTCTGTGCAGTCATATCATTTACATCAACTGGTAATAATGGTGATGAAAAAAATCTTCTCTGTTTAAAAAATATCTTACTGCGCACCAGGATTCATAAAGCAGTGAAATTGTCATCTTTATTTAGTCCTAACCTCCTCCCTCCAGACTTTTTTAAATAAGTAAAATTTCTCTGTTATTTGCTCTGCTGAGTTTAAGTGGCACTTTTCTCTAGATTGTGCTTTAACCCCTG